GAGGCTCACACAGATTTTAAAAACTCTGCAAAGCGCAATTTCACAACAGGCAGACAATCCCCAAGCCATGGATGTTTTAGCCCTTCAGTTAGCACATGAAAATATCAACGGTGATCATCACAGTTCAGCACCCCTTGAAGAGAAAAAGTTAAATATTGCTGAAATGATTAAATTTGCCAGATGTAGGAACTGAAAGCCATACATTCAAAGTGATTGTTGCAGCTTTGCAGCCTCGAAACTATTATCATGGCAAGGAGAAGCATCTTCAGACGGATTGCAAGAGCTGTAAGAGGGCTAGCCTAGCAGAAAGTGCCCACGTGCACCAAAGGTTATCATTGGGCCAGTCAGCGTTGCTCTGAGTTTGGTAGAAAAGGAAAACTGTGTTTGGGAAATGGGGAAGGGGGCAAAACTCTGCTCCAGAGAAGCACAAGGAGTCCAGTCGGACTGTTCACACTCAGCATGGGACCCGACCGACCCCCAGTCACAGCAATCCCTTGGCTTGACCTGGCTCTTGAGGGGCATGAAATTTTTGACGATGCTGGCAGAGTGAAGATGACAGCCAGTGATATCTGGGGACCTTTACTGCAGGATGTGCTATTCTCCTGTTAGAAGGATCCATTTATTCCAGTCAGGAGGTCCAAGTCATTCCTGGTCTGATAGACTTCAGATTATTTAGGGTGAATTAAGATTAGACAAGAAGCCTAGGACATTGTGTTGTCCCATGCCCCTTTTGTCTTTGGCTCTCTTGACAGAATATGAGGAAGTCTTGGGTGCCCCAGTAAGCAAGCCTTTAGGGCTGCTACCTTACTCCTGGGGGCCCTGTCCTCACTGTCATGGTTAATGCAAACGGTTTTACAGGCCTGACTTTCAGGGGCAGATGTAACTATTTTTGCAAATACTGTAATTCCCTATTTAGGAATGAGTTATGATCCTCAAGAACTGTTTATCAGTCAGGTTCATTCATCAACTGACAAGGTGCCTCTTGTACAGTACCCTGCAAAAGTTTACAGCTCAAGCCTGTAGAAGTTGGGGACTTACTGTGAAGATTGGTTGTCCTTCCTGGCTGTCAGCTTCTTTCCTGATTTTCAGGAGTTTGTTGCTCTCAAGTCCCTTGTGAAAGCAGATTCCCATTCACCTTAGCCGGAGAGGACAAAGGGCCACCCTATAGCTGTTTTGCTAGATCTACTGGTCACCTTCAGAGCAGAGATTGCTTTCTGGTGAGATGTTTACATGAGCACATCCTAGCTGAGCTTACCATGATGCCCACGGCCATCTTGCTGCCAGTTCAGGCTTCCGTGGGTCCTGGAGCCACTGTTTCAAGCGGCAGAATGGTCTCCGTCAGGGGAAACACTTAAACAGGCCACCGATTGGTGGAAGAACAGCTGCCAGCTGACCAGATTGATGATCTCTGTTATACTTCCTGGAACACTTGCAGTTTTCTGCATGCCAAGAAAGGAAAATAGAGGCTCTTCCATGCCCTCCATCAGCTGATTCACAAAATCTTTATGGGATCTCCACAGCCTCAAATTCCCAATTCTGCTTTCATGTTTCAAACTTATCATCTTATAGCTATGAATCTTAAAGATTTTCTTTTTAATATTTCACTCCACAAGGAGGGTAGGAATTTGTCCTGAACATAAATCCAATTCTCCCCAGGCACTCTTCAGTTTGGCCATGTTAAACATGTCACTGGTACACCTCACAGTAATTAACTTATGAGAGAAGAGGAAACGTGGTAGAGACACGACTCTGTAGAGATGCAGGGTACTGTAGTCCACAGTAGATGGGCCTGGTGGAGTGGCTCTCAGGGGGAGGCTTTGCATCTGTTTTGTCCCCCACAGGTGCAGTCTGGGTTCCTGCAAAGCCTGTGTGTCCCTATGGTGCAGAACCAGGCGGGAAGCAGCCCTGTCCTTGAGCCCCCGAAGCTGGAAGTACAGCCTCCCCTGGGACTGAACAACGAGAGCAAAAGGATGGATCCTCTGCCCTCTAAGACACCTTCAGGACCCACGTGGGGGGACATTAAGAAGCTTACTTATCAAGCTGAGCAAACTCTCCACATCACAGGAGCTCCCTTCACTCCTGAAAACATGTTTCTTAAGATGGTAGAGCAGATCTCCTCCAATTCCAAGGCTGCAAAGGTAAAAAGGTCCCTCATTCTTTGAGCTTGCTGCTCTGTTTACCTCAAGTAAGTGGGCCTGGAGTGCTGGGCCCATGTTCCTACCACCTCTTTTGGACAGGGTCACGTGGAGGATCGAGGGGCACCCACCCCTTTTCTCATAGTGCTTGTCCTGCAGGTGGAACTTGCTGCCCCCTCCTGGCCCACTCGGGGCTGTGCGAGGGGCTGCGGGTATTCTGGTTACTCTAGTGGTGGCACCTGTTAGCTCTCGAGTGTCACTTTTTAGCAAATGAATTTCCCTTACCTGTGGTCACCAGCGTCACTGATGGTGGCTATTGTGTTTCCTTTTTGCCCCAGCGGGATATGAATTACATTTTCATAGGATGTAATCTAAGAGAGGGAGAACTCCTTATCCCATTTTTTTTTAACACTGCTGAACAAGTGGAACCTGGGAGACCCGTCTCAAGCCCAAATTCCCAACTGTTCTCAGCCCTGGGATCCCACTGGTGATGGCTGAGATTCAGGAAGGGCCCCATGTAGATCACCAGCCTTGCTGTGACTAGAAGCACAGCGTGCAGAAGCTGGGCTCCCCTGCAGACTCGCCGAAGCGGCCGCCTACACTGTGACTCTAGAAAATTGGGGGTCTTAGTAGTGCTAAAGTCTGTCTCTGTTTGGAACTGTGGTGACCCTTGAATTACAGCAGTGCTCTCCCTACCCCACTCCACTCCTTCATGGAAGCCTGGGCTCGCAGCACCCTTATGGCGCCGCTCAGGCACTGGAAGAATCTCGGTGGTGTTTAGTTGTGCCACTCTTCCCGCAGACTGTCACATAAGCCGTAGCAGCCACTGCACATAGGGAAGCGCCTCCCTGGGCGGCCAGTGGCACCCCTGCCCGTGCACCGTAGTCCTTCCTGGGAGGAGCCTGCACATGAGGAAGGCAGCTCCTCTGACCCCCGCCAGCAACCTCTCCGGCCCTGACTGTTAGCTGGCAGCTAGGGCCGCGTGGCTCGCTGTGTGCGTCGCTGCCCTCGTGTTTCTCAGTTCGCGGTCACTCACATCGCGGTGCTCAGACAGCGTGCAGAAGCTGGGCTCCCCTGTAGACTCTCACCGGAGCGGCCGGGAAGCTCTGCCCTGGGACAGGCTGCCTCAGCGCTGGGCCGCAGCAGCCGACCTCGTGCTCTTGCTGCTCTGACTGCAGCTGCTGCTACGCCAGCCCCAGCACTCGAAGCTCCAGCGGTGGCCGCGGCAGCGGCTGTGACCGTTCCATGCACGCCGCCCAGACCAGGGACAGCTGCCTTCAGAACGTTACTTCTGAGTTGCTCATACTGACCAGCTTTGACAAGGAAGTCTGCCGCTGCCCTTAAGCTCTTGAGGCTGCTCTTGGTGGCTCACGGCACCCCCAGGCTCTCTGGACCGCTCGGCTTAGCTGTGGTACAGGATATCACGCTCTGCATGTTACACCCGTGCCTCTTAGCAGCTCTGTTTTCCTGTGAAGAGATCCAAAACAGCACATGATCTTCGTGGGGAGATCTCCTGTCTCCAGGGCCACAAGAAGTGCCAGCCTCCAGTGTTTAGATGAAAGCTTGCAGTGTCACTTTAGACCATCATCGTGCCACTGCCTGCTCTGCCGCTGGCGCGGTGGCCTCCACCTCCACATAGTGGTACTTTGGTTCACCAACAGCATTCTGTCCATGACTCTGGCCATGGATTCTTTGGCAACCAGGGTCATGGAACAAATTCTGCATTCATGAACGAAGACACCACTGTATCTGGATTTTTACTGCTATAGGAATAACAGTTTTGTTGTTTCTTACAGTCCTTAAAGGTGTACCGAATGCTTCGTGCAGACCCTCACTGTGCAGCTCAGGCTGACCTCGAGCTCACTTTGTACCCTAGGCTGATCTCAAACTTGCAGGGATTCTCCTGCCTCAGCCTCCTGAGTGTTGGGATTTCAGGTGTGCACCACCACGCCTGGCTAGCACTGCTCTCTTCAGACTCCTCCACATTGGTCCTCTCAGTGTTTCGACCAAGTGTCATCTCCAAGTGAACTTTATGTTCTCCACGTTGCCACCTTGACATATGAGGACAGTTGTCTCCAGCATCATCTTCAGCTATGTGTTGTTCGTAATGGGAAACTTGGTTAATTTTCCCACAGGTAGTGTTGTCCAGAGTCGCCTGTGAGTCTGTGTAAGCGTAGATGTACATTTCTGACTTTGACCACCTTTCCCTCTCCTTTTGTGCCATAGTAGATGGTTTATTAGTAGGGAGTGGCCCCTTGGGTAGGAAGTTAGTCACTAGTCAGTTAGTTACTTGAGCCCTAGAGCTTTTGTTTGTTCCTTTTTGAGGTAAACCCTGGCTCTGTTGTCTCAGTTGGCCTGGGACTCACTGTGTAGCCCAGGCTGGCGTAGAACACATGGTCCTCCTGCCTAGGCTCCTAACTGTAGGTGTGTACCACCATCCTGGAAACTACTAGAGCTTTCGTGGGATTGTTTCCTCTTTAACGATTTCAGTGATTTTTTTTTTTTTTTTTTTTTAAGGGGTGAGAAATTTTAACTTCTAAAGATGGAACCCTTTCCTGTGTTTCTTTTTTCTTTTATGTGTGCACACTTGTAGTTGTTTTTGTATGTGTTGCAAATTTTGTTATGGGGCCAAACTTTCTCACTGTGTCTTAATGTAGACTGGAATTTAAGTTGGGATATGAAAGTCTAGAGGCTGTATTTTACCTAAAGTTGAAAAAGCAGCAAACCATTTCCTGTTTAATCCTCTTCATGTGTGCTCAGTATGTATGATCGGATTAAGTTTTCTTAAAACATGTCAAACGTAGTGTTAATGTACCATCTGAAATGCTCCATGTAAGTTAATGATTTGGAACATTTTTTTTCAAGGTGGGACCTACAACTCCGTTATTCCCTGAGCAGCCAGAGGAGCCGGAGACCAGTGCAGCCGACAGCACAGAATTGTTTGAAGACAGTCAGCTCAGCAGTCGCACGAAAGCAATAGCGTTGAAAACCAAAGAGATTGAGCAGGTAAGAGTGCAGTCTACAGAACGTAGGTAACTGTTGGCTAAGTCCACTTTGCATATTAAGTACTTAGTACATAATCACGTTTCTGCCATCTGTCTGTCTGTCTGTATTTACTTTTTTATTTTTATGCATTTGGTATAGGCTCTCACTATGCTGTTCGGACTTGTAGTGATCTCCCTATTTCAGCCTCCCCAGCACTGGGATTGCAGGCGTGCATCACATGCCCTGTCTTGGTGGCTGGCTTGGCTCGCCTGAGATGGGGCCAGTACAGCATGTGGTACTATGGCTCAAACCCGCTTTCTTGTGCTTGCTTTAGCAGGAGCTTAGACCGCTGAGCTATCTCTGGCAGCACACCATTCGAACATTTAAGACAATTTTGACTTCAGTCAGTTTGGCCCATGTAGTTTCTTCTCTCTGTTGTCTATAGGCAGAGGGTAATGTTTTGTTTTAAGAGAACTTTAGTTGGTGGGAAACAACTCAAAACTTTTAAACTTAATAGACTTGGAATAAGAGAATATTAAATGTTGGCAAATGTTTTCTTTGACTATTAGGATTACTAATACTTGTTTTGGTTTATGCTTTTTAAGCATTTTCTAAAACTTACAGGTAAAACAAAAAAGGTATGTAAAATCTGTGTTTTTAGTTGTCATTTTGAAAAAGAGGATTTTGTTTTTACTACGAATCTATCACTACCTCAATAGAGCGTTGTCTTTCAGAAGGATTGATGAGGTAAGTGAAATACGAAAGGGATTTCTGAAGGGTAGTGTGTTTGCTTTGCACAGGTGCTTGTTTTTGATAATGATGTTACTCTCTAATACCTGTAAGTATCTAATACCATAATAATTTCATAAATAGCATGAAATTATTATATGGTCTCAAAACAGTTTGTAATTAAGAACAAAATTAAGGTTTTTTTTGGTACTAGGGATTGAACTCAAGACCTTGTGTTTGCCAGGCAGGTGCTTATTCTGCTGAGCTGTCTTCCCAGACCCCAAAATTAGGGTGTTTTCTCAGGATGTTTTCCTATTTCCATGTTCAACCATCCCTTGGTTGAAGTTTGACACTGTCTAGTTCTGCGTATGATTGTCTGGGAGTGTTTGGCTGCATGGTGTTGCTGTCACACCAATGACCGAAGCTAAGCAAGATAGGAAACTTGTCCCGCAAACCACTAGCATTTAAAAAGCCAGGATAGTTTAATGTAAGTGTCTGGTCATCCTTTGCATTTTTTCCATATACTTGAAATACTTGAAGGACTGGCCACATAGCTCAGTGAAGACGTCAGGGGTTCGATCCCCAGGCCTGCTGTGCTGGCCCTGCCCTCGGGGTGCACTGAGACAGCGATGGAGACTGGGTGTGGTGGCACACTCCAGCTCTTGGGAGGCTGTAAACAGGCGGATCAGTACAAGTCCGATCTAGTAGTAAGACACTGAACACCCTGTAGACCCTTCCCTAAAATACAGGGAAAAAAAAAAACCCTTAACAGTTCAGTTTAATAACTCAAAAAGGCTATATATGATACCATAAAATCAAGCCTTGGTAATGTAGAAATAGGAATCCTATGGTAACATCTAAGTTGTCTCTTTCTCCCTGTTTTGTTAAATCATTGTATGCAGATGTATTTTTTTTTATTTTATTGGGAAATAAATATCAATGAGACAGTTTCAAAGCTGATTAATACGACATTTTCAATAATTAATACATTATACATTGTTATCTTCTTAGTGGTTATTCACAGTACAAGAAGCAGACAGGATATCCTGTCCAAACACTATTTGTATATATCTTTCTTCTCATTGAATTAAGTGAAAGTAGCTGTATATCTGTCCTAACTATTTTGGATATACAAGTACCAAATGGTCCTTCCTTTGTTTCCCCTTTTTTTCTTTAGTCCTGTCAGAGGTGGGTATTCTATTGGCATCTAATACTATAGGTGCTTGAATTCAGCAAAACAATGCAACACTGTCCAGCAGTCCTTAATAGTAGTGGGTTATCCTCAGAAGTTACTGACTTTGAGCCTTTTACAGCTCATCGTATTAATATGGCTTTACTTTATATACCTCGTTTTCATACTTTTCTACTGGATGGTTAAGACCAAGATAAAGCAAGACCTGTATGACAAGAAATGTAACTTTTGTATCTGATAAGGTCAGTCAAGTCCCCTCAGGATTTATCTTGTAACCCTGTACCACAGTTTACAGATCCTTTTTCAGTGTCAGCCATGTGGATGAGTCATGGCCATTGCTTGACCAGTTTGGTCTCTGGGAAAGCCTGAGAGAATGTTTTCTCTCCATGTGACTCTCCTTAGGCACATTCTACATTATTGATCACTTTCCTCTGTGGCCCCATAATCTTGATCAGAAAATTTGGGACACAACTGAGTTACATGGTGTTACAATAATAGGTTCTCCTATGTCCTGAGTCTTTACTACCTTGAAAGGCTAGTGCCAAAATGTTGGCTGACCTTGCAGCCCTTCGTTTTCTCCATTTTATGATCTGCAAACTTAGGTTGTTAACCCTCCAGAAGAGAAGCTTATTATTACCCTGCAACATATGCAGTTTGGTTTACCCTGTCTAAATATCAAATATCTTAGGCATAACATGAAACTGGTATTTTCCATCAAGTATTGATATGTTGAACTTTAAGTTCTTACAGAATATGAAGAAAAAAAAAATAAAGGAATAAACATATATTTTTACACAGAAATTTAGGAAGGAATAGGTATTTTCCATCAAGTATTGATATGTTGAGCTTTAAGTCCTTACAGAATATGTAGAAAAAATAAAATTCCCAGTAGGGAGATAGCTGGCTTGAATGGGATTTCCAGTCCTAGTTTTTTAAGGAGTCTCCACACTGATTTCCAAAATGGTTGCACCAGTCTACATTCCCAGCAGCAGTGGAGAAGGGTTCCCTTTTCCCCACAGCCTCTCCAGCATTTGTTGTTGGGTGATTTCTTTATGATAGCCATTCTTTCTGGGGTGAGATGGTATGTCAGTGTTGTTTTAGTTTGCATTTCATGGATGGCTAGTGATGAGGAGCATTTTTTCATATATTTATTCGCTTTAATTGCATCCTCTGAGAAGTGTGTGTTCATCTTGGATGCCCATTTCTGGATTTGGTCTTTAAATTTAGGGGTCCTAATGTTATTCAGTTCTTTATAAATTCTAGAGAGCAGACCTTTGTCTGAGTGCTTGTTAAGATTTTTTCCCAATTTGTGGGTTGTCTTTTCACTTTGTTGGTAATTTCTTTTGACGTGCAAAAACTTCTCAATAAGAGGTGGTCCCAGTTGTTAATTCTTTCAGGTGTTACTTGTGCGATTTGATTTTTTTTTTTAAACATTTATTTATGTGTGTGTGTGTGTGTGTGTGTGTGGCCAGCTCAGCCCACCAGGAGGCGGGGCAGGCTGGCATGTGGTGCTGGGGGATCGAACCGCTGTCCCTGTGCATTGCCAAGCTTGTTCCAAGTAAGCGCTTTAGACCACTGAGCCATCTCACCAGCCCTGATTTTTTTTTTTTAAAATTTTATTTATTTATATGTGTGTGTGTGTGTGTGTGTGTGTGTGTGGCCAGCTCAGCCCACCAGGGGGCGGGGCTGGCTGGCATGTGGTGCTGGGGGATTGAACCGCTGTCCCTGTGCTCTGCTAAGCTTGTTCTAAGTAGGTGCTTTAGACCACTGAGCCATCTCACCAGCCCCTCGATTTGATTTTTGTTCATGAACTCTTTGCCTACCTCTTCAGGAGTTCCTCCTACTTTCTCTTCAAGGAGATTTATTGTTTCTGTTTTAATGGCCATCTTCACATTGTTGGTTCTCCCTATCTAGGAGCAGGGAATATCTTTCTATTTTCTGAAATCCTGTATGATCTCTTTTTTTCAGAGTACTGTAATTTTTCATGAAAAGATCTTTGACTTCTTTAGTTAGATGAATTCCAAGATATTTCATTTTTCACGGTGCTATTGTAAAATGTATTGTTTTTCTGATTTTCCTCTCAGTGTGTTTGTTGTCTGTTTTCCTCTCAGTGTGTTTGTTGTAGAGGAATGCTATTGACTTTTGGGTATTGGCTTTATAACCTGCTATGCTACTGAATTTCTGAATTAATTCTAGTAGCTTCTTGGTGGATTTTTTTTGGGTCTTCCAAGTAAAGTATCATGTCATCTGCAAATAAAGATAATTTAACTTCTTCTTTACTTATTCTTATTCCTTTT